TATGTATGATGCTTCGTACCAAGTGGCGGAGATTAATCTGTTTCTTTTTATAATTCTTAAGAGTCCTCGCAGTACAAAACAAAGGAGTATCGACGGATAAAACCGTCACTAACCATCGCTAAATGTGGGATCCGTCGGTAGAATGCCGTCCGGAAAATGCACCGTGGGAAAAACGTCACCGACGGATTTCTAACAAATAGCATTTTCGACAGGTTTACCGACGGACTTAATCACTGACCGATTACCGATGCCCTAGTTTTCACACGGATTACCACGGTTTTTCGACGGATATTAAAAAAATTTAAATATATACATTTTCCCATGGAAATTTGGTCGGTAATTTATTTAATTTTAAAAAAAAAATTTAACAACCTAATTTCTTGTATAATAAACCTGCCTAGATTTTCAAAATAAATTGCAATAAAATCATAAATTATATTATAAAAGATAATATCCCAAAGAACAACAGTAAACTATCTATACTATATTATAAAATATTTGACAAAAACTTTTAAAAACCATTTTTTATGCATAAAGTATTGTCTATTAATGCATGATACTTAAAACTCAAGATTACAAGTAGACTGTGCGTAAGTACAACTTATTAAAGATCCATATCTGAATTCGTGTAACTAACTGTAGATAAACAATATCAAATACATGATAAACATTTCATTCTATATATAAAAAAATCTAAAATATAATTAGGATAATCATTGAGTTCTAACATAATCTTTAATTATTATCTTTATAAAATATTATATTATTAAATAAAAAATAGATTATTTCATTATTAAACTTAAAATAAATTATAATTAAAAAAATAAATTAAAGATATTATATTATAGATCAACAAAGACACACTAAAATAGAACATTAAAATCGAGATGTGTCTCGTTGTATTGCACGAGTAGTCTTATAGTATTACAAATGTATAATATCCTAAGACTGGGAAGGAGGGGGAGGGGGAGGGTTTATGGCATGGTACTGCGCCATGAAAGCTTCGAACTGTTTCGTCAAATCCTTTTGCCAACGTAACTCCTCTGCCTCTTGAGTTATATAATCTGTTTGCTACTCCTATGAGAGCTCCAATTCCKCCCTCTTTCTCTATTCTTTCTCCATTTGTTGCCCGTAGACCGCCAGTTTATATTTCAACGCATCTACATGAAATTATTCAACAATTGGCAAACATAGATTAAAGTTAGGTGATAAAGATTAAAAWCAATATTTGTACGAATGCAAACCACCCATACTTGTACAAATCGTGCAAATCACCCTCATTCGTCGATTTCATTGTTTAATCTTCTGAAATTTTTTTATGAAATTTTTTCATATAATACTTTTTTTTTGATAAAGTTGTTTCATATATGRTTATGAAATTATTTCATATGATATTTATGAAATTTTAATGAAATTGTTTCATGTATTTATCTAAAATTAATATAATGAAGATGATGATAATAACCACTATTAACACCCTTCACAATAAAAATGATTAAYCAACCTCTCATAATTTCAAAAAAATGAACAAAATGAAAAATTATGATTGGTTGAATAAAGTTTGTACAGTTTGTAAAAATAACGTGGTTTGCAAAATAAATCTTTTCTCTCTCTCTCTCTCTCTCTCTCTCTCTATATATATATATATATATATATATATATATGTTACAACTAAATGAAACCTATCTTCTCATCGCGAGCACTACACGAGGTCCTGCTGCAACTGCAACTGCAACTGGCGCCTGTCATAGCAACCTAGGGATCCTGACAGGTCCTGAATCCGTAAATGCAGCCCTTGCGCTGACATCCGATACCACGCCCCACAACTCTGGGTCATCGGGAGAAATGGTGCTCGGATCTGACTCGCTGTATTTCTCCTCTTTAAGCTGCGGAAACGTCGCAATACGGTTTAAAACTCTAAGATATGTTTTTCAAAATTTCGCCAACATAACGGTCATAAAATGAATATTTCCAAATTAAATGAGGCCTAATATTTGCTCAACAAGTGGAAACACAACTATCTAAAACCTAAGATCAAATGTAACTTAGA